TTCTGTCCGATTTCAGATTCTGCTCAATAAAGGATTTCATGAATATATTCACACATTTTCACAGGGGTGCCACCAGCAGTCTTTAAAAATCTGTCTTTATCCACAGAAATTTTTTTTACTTTAAAGTAACACATCTACATTTTTATAACCTGTGCAGGCATTAAAGAAGCATTAAAGATAGTTACTCATTTTTCGATCAGAAGTTTTTACCAAAAACTAGCAACTGTTTTACAGAAAATGTGCCATTTTGGGTTTTCTAATGTACTTTTGAACAATTCGAGTGACTTGTGGGATGTCCTCGAGGGAAGAAATCAGTAGGATGATGTTAACCTGGAATGTCACACTGGATAAAACATGACCTTACCTAAAATTCAAGCTGCGTTATCTGGAACCAACTGTTCAGGAGAGTGAAGGAAGGCACATGATTTATTTTGCATCAGATTCACGGCTTTTGGAGCAAGAGTGGATATAACCATTTTAGGATAGGAAAGATGATTTTGAGTACACCGCAAAAAATCGAAATAAGCAATTTTTTTCTTAGAAATTTGTCTTGAATTGAGGAGGTAAGCGAGACACTTTGCCAATGAAACAAGACAATTTAAAACTAAAATAAGAAAAACAATTGCAATGTCTTATTTCAAGAGCATATTATCTAATTATCTTTTTTTAAGAAAATAATAATTCAATTTGCAAATTATCTTATTTACCTATTCAAATTAAAAGTAAATATACTTGATTTAATATATTTCTAGATTGTTATTACAGTGTAGTAACTTTTAAATAGTCAAAAAAGAATGCACTCTGATCGATGTTTCTTGAGACCATTACATGTGTTGATAATTTAATTCATCATTAACTTCTCTAAATTAAATGCATAGGTTAAAAGAGATGCTATCTCAGGTAATCTTCAGCAATACACATCTGTCGAAGGTTATTATAATTTCATGCAGAAAATTTTTTATTTTTGCAGTTTTTGTTAGCCTGTGTCAAATAAAATCCAATTGGCTTCATTTGAAATACTCTATGCAACCTATGATTTTTTGAACAGCTGTGTTTTAGTCACAGAAGTTGATAAACACGTTACGAAGGAGCATCAAAACTCAAATCTAACTCTCATAGATGACATCAACGCAAGTATTTGTTGTTAGCGGAACCACAGGGTTAAAAGCCTGGCTGGCTTAGGAAGACATCTGGGCTTCCAGATGTGTGATGAGAATGGAAAACTCATCTGTTTCACTAGGCCTGCTCATCCTCGCCTCATCCCGCCTCAACCCAAGTGTGACAGTGCGGCTAATTACCGAACCTCCGATCCCACACAGACGGCTGACAGTCCTGTTAGGCTCCGATTTACGCTTTTAATTAGATCTGGCATATCGGCATCATCTGGGTCATACTAAGTATATTTGGCTGTCTGCAAGAACGTGGAGCTCAGTTGGATTTAAGATGAACTCTAACAATCATTTTTATCTCTTTGTTAATAAAAGAAACTTCCCTTTAGTTCATTTGCATTTTGATAATTTAGATTTCTATCTCTCTCAACAGCTGAATGCACAGAGATTTATGTACCATCCTTGGCAAGACAGTTAAGACATCTTTTTAACTTTACAATATTGACCTTAAGTTTACAAAGAGGAACACCTAATACCTGAGGCTTAAAAGTCTGCTTTATCTGACCCCAATCCTGCTGTAGCTCGTATTTATTGCACAGACTAACTTCAGGTGATGTGTTGAATGCTTGATTTTTAAAGGATTAATTTTTAATACAAACTAAAAAATAGATTAGTTTGTAACTAGATGTCTTAATGTCACATATCCAGCAAATCTTATTTCTTACCAGTTTTTTTTTAACCACAGATAATTGGTTTACATTGGACTTGATGACTTTTTCTGTCCTGACTGCTAATGCAGAGTATGGTAGGTGTGGCTACTTTACTGAATCAGGTCAGATATGACCTACAATAGAGGAAAAACAGATAAACTGTTGATTTAATTTTATTTTAATAACCCCCGTGCAGAGCACAACAGATTTAACATGAAGAATTATAAATGCGATGAATGCTTTTGCATTTTTTACAAAGACACAGAGGCAGAAGATGTCAGTGGTTAAAGAGTGGAGGGAGATAATAAAAGGACAGGGGAGAAAAGGCACCTTGACCAATCCTGGAAACGGTCCAGCCAAGTCTTCAAAGGAAAATTACAGAAGTGTGGGATAGATTCCAGCACTAGATAAGACAAGATCCAGACCACAAGGGAGAGAAGGTCCAATTACTAAACAGTTTCTAACCACATCTTTGGCTTATAGCATCCAAACCCCTTTACTGACTGCAACCAAACAGATTCTGCCACCACCCACCCACTCCAAATATAGAAATCCACCATTGGTCAACTCTAATAAAGGCTGACCAAAGCAAAGTTGAGAGCTCCAAAAAATCCTGCAAACCTCAGAAGAGGAGCCAACAAGGTTCCTCAAAATATGAGCCAATTTCAATTGTTTCATCCAGACTGTAGCTGAGGAAGAATGAAATAATAAACACAGCTATAATGATGCACACATTTCCATATAAACTCAATTTCTCATTTCAGTACTTCAATGTTTATGTAAATGCTAAAATAATAAATATATTTTATTTAGCAGCTGTATATTTGTTGATTGAATTAATATTCTTTGAGGTTGGTGGGGAATTTTAAAACTGATCCATAAGAACATATAAATATTAATCTCATTATCCGTTCATCCTTTAACATTAGATAAATAATGCTGTATACATTAATTTGCATCCCCCCCCTACTGCATTGAAAATATAGGCTGTCTGCACAGCAAGTGGCGTGAAATCCTGAATGGCGCAAAAGCCTGTAAACAGACTTGTAATTGGAGGTAATGGTTTTGACATTTATGGTTTGGGATGCAAAGTCACAACAGCCCTGCAAAAATTAAATAATATTCGCACTTAAAAGTGAGTTTTTGAACTTATGAAGCAAAGTGACATCCTATAAGCTATAAGCAGAAACAGTTAAGGAGTCAAATAAATGCAGACTCACTGGATTAAAGTGTGCTAAAATATGAGGAAAAAATGCATTTTTTGCAGTTTTATCTTAGAGGAAAATAAGATAAAACCATATCTAAATAAATTAGGAATTTATTTTCAGCGTTCTCCAACCATATTCCTGCCCAATTAAATTGTTCATAATTTAGCATAAAAAAGACCAATCTTCTAGTAGGAAACATAGAATTACCTCCTGTGGTGTGGGATAGGGGTTTAAAAGATGGGATGACAAGTGTCTCAGCACAATCAACCAACTCTTTTTAGGAAAATAATTTAAATCATTCTCTCAACTCTAAGAACAATTTGGCTTCCCTTAAAATGGTTTATATAAATACCTTCAGATAAGACATATCACAAGTCATAAAGAAAGAAATTTGATCAGAAAAAAAATCCCAATAAAATAGAAGAGTACTTTATTGGCGTTAGAGAAGCCTTTCCCGACAAAAAAAACACAAAACATATCTAATATATACAAAAGGTGGTAATTGACACTTTACAAAACATGAACAATATCAAGGAAAAATGGGAATTAGAATTAAATGTTATAATTGAAGAGTCGCCGTGGGTGGACATGTGTACCGGCTGTCATAGGGGAATTAGCAGCCAATGGGGAAAAGAATTTGACTGTAAAGTGAAGATAAGATACTTTAATACTCCCTTTATTTTATCCTCATTTATGAAAAATCCCAGTTCTGCATTATGTTGGCGAAATTGTGAAAATACTGGATACAACACATACATTTTTTGGAATTGTCCAATATTCCGATGACTTTTGGACAATATTAAAAAGGAAAGTGAGAGAATATTGAGAGTAAATGTCACTTTTCGTATTTTGTTTTTGTCTATACATCTTCTACTTAAGTTTATGTCAGGAAATTTTATGTAAAGTATTAAAATGGTTAAATAAAAAGTTCTAAAAAAAAAGAAAAACATTTTTTTTTTAACTAGCACTGTGTTTGATTGACAAACACAAACTAGAATATCCTGTTTTAAACTTTAGCTGCGGCTTATCATCTTTAGTTAAGACGCACAACAAATAGTTTAAATGTATTTTTCAGAGCACTTACAGTAGCTTGGTGTCACTCTTTGCTAATAATTTTTTTTTTGTTAGAATTATTGTGATTTTATATAACCTTCTCCAATGCCCTCCTTGGTATCAAATGGAGTCTTTATCTTTTAAATGTCTCTCCAATTTTCCCCTGGCAAGCAGCTGCTCAGAATTTATTATTCAGAGGTGGCAACATCATACTATGGGGATGTTTTTCTTTAGCATAGGAGGTGTGATTGGAAAAAAGCCCAGATATAAACTTTGGTCTCTCCGCATGACTTGGAACACATCACCTTCTCAATGATGCACAGTGAAGGCAGCATTATGCTGGTGGGATTCTCTTCTCTGCAGCAGAGAATTTTGCAGGTAAAAAAAAAATGTTTATGAAAAGCAATGTTTTAAATGAGTTTATTCTTTAACCATTTTCCATCAGCAAACAAGCATACAAAAAACGTTTCCCAACCTCTTTGGAAAAACTGAGGAATTACTCTCCTTTTAAGGCAGCAAAGCATGAAGGAATGGTCAAAGTGGGTTCTGATGTTCTGTGCAACAAAACAAACCAAAAAATGTTTGTTTCCCAATGATGATTCACTGCTTTGCTGGATGAGTTACTACTTCTAAGCATGTATTTGTACAAATCTTGTCAGGAAGATCACCACAATGGGGTACAGAACGACACATAAAAACTTGGTGTGAGAGAAGCACTTTGGAAATCATGGATTATTAAGGCTGGATGCAAAAAAAGGTATAAAGATCCCAAAACCACTATAAATAAATGGCACAATTAGATGAAAAACAAAAAACAGCTACAAAAATTTTTCTAATTCTATGTCCTTCAATTGGTCTGCCATCCTTGACCGAGAACATATGGTTACAAATAATAATAATAATAATAATAATATAAAACACATTCTCCAGTTGTATATAGGTTTTGACTGAAAACAAGAGAATATTCATACCCTGTTTTTTTCTGACAAGGAATGAAAAAACATTTTTCCTTTTGTTATCTATTTGTTACCTATGAATGTACCAGTTTAATGCCCTGTCCGGTGTCCAGAACAGCTGGAGGGAACCAGGCCAGTTTACACCTCCTGAAGCAGCGCAGAAACACGCTGCACAACCAGAACAGGTTTAAGCCGCAGCACCAGTTGGAGAGGTGGATCAGTGGGTAGGTGGCTTTGGGGAAATGGGTCTTCCAGTGCTTGGCTACGTCGCTCCCGGTGGGAAGGTGAAGCGTGTAGTCGCTCCAGCGTTTCGACACGCCGTACGCTGCCGTCACCGCCCTGCCCTTCTCAGTCCACTGGGTGTCACTGGCTGGGTTGCAGTTGAACTCCACCCATTCTGAAGTGAAGTCACCGAGGAGGGGGATGTTTCCGCTTTCTGGGTCGAGCCTGGAGAGCGGAAGCTCGGCCCCTTGCACCGCCATGTAGATGCCGTCCACTCTGCGCACTTCTTTGACCCAAGGGAGGGAGTTCTCAGTGTCCAGCACGACGATAAGACGGGAGCCGTGGCCGGCGTTCTTCTCCTTCCAGATCTCTAGCAGCTGGTTCAGATGCAGACTCTCTCCTCCTTAAGATGGGATGATAAGACAAAAGGCATGTGAATACAAAACAAGACAAGATCATGCATACAGTGCTGCAAACAAGTTTCTGCCCAGCTACAGATGTCTTCCGTTTTTTTCCTCACACTAAAATGGTTCAGATCATTAATAAAACTTCACTTTCAAAGAAAGAATATAAGATATGATTTTCAAATGATGATTACATTTAATAAAGTGAAAAAACAGGCTATTAGTGCTACATCAAAAGGCTAAGATAAAAATGTAAGTGGAAGTTGTTGGGGACGTGTGTTTTGTTGCATTTTGTATAAAATGAACACAGCCTTTCAAAAGTAAAAAAAAAAATTATACCCAGACTTAAACATGGTGGTGGTGGTGTAATGATTTTTGCTCTGCAGTTGGATCTGTTTGCTAGTAGCATTAAAAAGCATGAGCTACATAGACAGAACAAACCCCCATGAGGCACCAACCTGCCAGAGTCCAGGCCCCGGTGCCTTTCTGAGAGTGTCCGCTATAGAAAATCAAATATGTGTCATGGCGTGGGCCGTCCGCCGTTTGGAGCTCCATAAAGCTGCGGAGCTTGTTCTGCACGGTCTCCAAGGTAACGCCGCTGGTGGAGTAGTCGCAGCCAAACGTCTGGATCATGTGGCGCGAGAAGAGGCGCTGCATGTCATTCAGCATGGCCGTGGAGCGTTGATTCAACTCCTGCACAAGCTCAGGTGGTAGGAGAATGGGCTGGCTGCCGGCACTGGGGGTAAAGGGAGAGATTTGGATTTAAAAGAAGCGATTTGGTAAAAACGACCAAAAAGACAGGCGGAAGAAAGCTAAAAGAGGTTTTGGGCGTATGTGACACAAAGCTCTCCTGGAAAGCAACAAGAACATGACAAAGGACACATTCAACAAGTCAAGGCTATCAGGCATCCAGGTCAGCCATATATTTTCTTTCCTATCTAAGGGCTCTGATGTTATTCATGGCCAGGCGGAGGGCTAAGTCATACATCACACTTACAGATCTCTCCATACAGGAGCCAAAATAATAAACCAGCGATCTCCCAACCTACCCCGGCAAGAAAATGAAAACGTTTATCTAAATTAAGTGAAAAGTCTTTAAATCTACGGAAAACCAAATTATTTTTGCAAAGTTTGATAGTGCATGAAACTTTAATTTTTTAAGTTTACAACCACAAAATCTGCTTCATTTATGTTTTAATGTCATTTAAGGACTACATGGAGAATCTTGTTCATTTTAGAATCCAACAAAATTGAACATTGGTTTGTCCCTGCAAAACGAAATCGCCCTGGTGACAGATATTACTAGCATCATTGTGGTGTGGAGATACTTGGCATGCAGGCGCTTGTTAAAATGTTTAAACAACAGATCTGAGAGTGACATGCTGCATGATTTACAGATCCAACCAACCCCTGAAACCCCCTTTTTAATCATTTCAGAACGTGCCTTTGAGGGGCTGAAGGGAGTAACTTCAAGATTCAGACAGCATCTTCCCCTGACATCTCTTTCATCTTAAAAAAGAAGAAATTAATAATCCCACCCTTTTCTCCAAAGCCCCCTCACAGCTTCATCTGCTCTTCTTTCTCAAAACAGTTCCTCCTTTCTGTTGTCTGTCCCTTGCCTCTAGTACCTTCCCCTCAGTGCTTAAAACCTCACATCTCTCTTTTATTTTTGTTTCACTGAACTTGTGTCCCCTTCCCTTACCCCTCTGATCTTCCTGAGAGGGTGTTGTCGTTATGAAAGCATAATCTTCAGCCATCACAGCTGATTATTTATTGCTGGATTCTCATCGTGCCGTAAGTGTTCCCTACAGACTCCCAGAAACAACCTTGAGTTGAGTCTAAATGTTTAGAAAGCCGAAGCGTTCTCTAAAAAACAACCATGTATTTGATGTTTAGCCTCTTCTGACTACCTGTGCAATATTAATTATACAATTTATATAACTAGCTAATATAATTAATATATTAGCAGCTTTTTGAATCAAAGTGTGCTGCAGCAGGTTAATGTAACTTGTATAGTAACACCAGATTGACAAAAAATTCAAAATGCAAAAAGGATTTTTTTTTTTTTTTTTTTTTTAATCTTTGTCATAGTATAATCCCACACTGAACATTTAAAAAAAATCCAACATTTATTTTAAATATTTTCATAAAAAAAAAAAGGAAAGGCTCTTACTCAAGCACTAAAACACGGAGCCAATGGGGATTAGGAAGACAAACAGGCCCACAGCATCACAGATCCTCCTTCATACTTAAAGGCAGATTAGACTTCTGCAAACGCACACATCAAATGTCGCTTGATTCTAGTCGTGAACCAGTTCTGCTGGTATGCTTCTGCAGCGTCGGTCTGGAATTTCTAGGGACGCAAAGCAGTTTCCTGCCAAAGCGGAAGGGGGAGCCTATTCGAGAACTCGCAAGATCTTTAACGGATGGTCACGAGAACTTCGGCGGCGCCGGCGGGAGTGTTTATCTTCCAAAACAACAATGGCGCGTCTGCAAGATATCACGGTCACGGAGGTGGATCTAGAGTTGCTAGACATCGGAGAGGAATAGGCTCTGTTTATGGAGCGAACCTCCTCGATTAACCTTTCGTTGTAGTTGTTCATTGTATTAGTTCCTCGGTTTTTAAAAATGGCGTGCTCCGGCATCAAATCAAGAAGGATGACCACACACACAGCCAGAGAGACATACCAAGGACCAATCACAGGTGCTTTTTGTCTGCTCACTTCCGCTTGAGGTCTCTGCGGGTTTGTGACTGTCCGATGTGTAGTCAGGATATTTTTGATGTGCACGACGACGGTTGCAGAACCTCTGCGCAGGGGGCGAGGTCGCGCACAGAGGCAGATTTGATGGTTGCAGAGGCTTTGCGTCAGAAGCATAAATTGGCCTTTAAAAGTAGCAATAATGTCCCCATCTATTTAGTACAGGGGTCTACATCCTTTTAAATCAAATTTACCCCAAGCCAAGCTAAATTAAAATCATGTAGAGTTGCAAATATTACATGGCCTTTAAATAAAATCTACCTTATTCTTCTACCTGTAGTAGAAAATTAGTTGGCATTTTAAACAGTTTATTTGCATTAATAGTTTTTAAAATAAGAACAAAACAGGACAGTTTCACAATGAGGAATCACTGATATCAGATTCCTTTCTATTCCTGACTTTCCAAGCGAGTGATGAGCAAAATACATCTATAACCATATTTTTGATAGTATATAGTCATTTATACTATATTCAAAACCTTTCGTTGGCTCTTTAAGATTTTTAGTCACTATTAGGAGCCATTGTAGAGGGAAAAGAGTAGGCTTTTAGCTAGCAATGCCTACAGCCGTACAATGATCGGCCTTTAAAAAAATAGAAAAATTTTATGCCCGTTTTTCCTCCTGGAAACAACAAAATTTCACAAGCAGCAGATGCTGGAGTTGAAAAAATGTAACTTTTGATGCTTACCGTGCCACATCAACCAATCAGAGAAGCTGATCTGCAAACTGGCAGAGAAACGGACATCGTTGCTGATGTAGAGCACTATGATCACTCCACTGAAACTGTTTATTAATGCCTAAATTAACTTCAAATGTCAAAACCTGCCGGGAAAATATATTCACTTTTATTATTCTGGTGTCTGCAGTTTGAGCCACGTACATAAAAAAACGCTAACATCTACTTCCAGCCGCCATGAACAGTAGGGGAAAATTCCCTGCTGGATTCCCAGAGACAGCGCACCTCACAGAGAAATAATACTTTAAGACAAGATCATAATCTTGATGAACTGACCGCACAGAAGATGTTTTAGGTAGACTTTCTCACAAAAAGTATTTTAAAACTGCTTCTTAACTACTGATCACAGCAAATATAGCAAAGCTGCTCTCGACCATTGAACACAAGAGCAGCATGAGTATTAAGACACATCTGGACACACGCTTCGGGAGCATCAAAGATGCTCTTGAGGCACGTCTGACCTTAATGTGTACAAGCATCAAAAATAAAGCAGCAGGCGCTTTTTGCTGCTCAAACCACATTGTGAACGTAGCATTACAATTTCTGATTGTTTGAAATAACCTATGAAGCATAATATTGAACCTGAATATTATCTCATCTCCACCTCTAGTCAAGCACACATAATTCCCACAATCAGGACAAAAGTAGTGTTGTAACAAAGACAAAATTGAGCTGCATTGCGCCTCAAAATGCAGGAAATAGTGTTTCTGAATCTAAATTTCAACATTTTCCAGTGGAGGATAATGCAGGACACTCTTACTCTGCACAAAGCCTAAAGATGTGATACACCAAGGTGTATACCCTATGAAACATTCTTAGCTAATGGCCCCTAGTTTAGTACAAAGAGAGAACATACAATAAGAAACAGCTGACAAGAAGATAAAATAAAGAAGACAACACTCCGCTACATAAACAGAGTCAATTCTTCAAGTAAGAGTTTTTGCATCTTCAGTTTGCCAGTCGTTTAGAAGGATGCTGGATTTTGGTAATGGTGGAAGTCAAATAGTTCATCTTTTATGCTGCGTTCACACCAGACGCAGCAGGGGCAGCAAAATCGCGTCTGCTGCTTCATCTTTGCTGCTTGTACAAGTCAGTTTTGACGCGCGGCTGAAGCAGCTTTGCTGCTCTGGCTGCGCGGTGCAAAAGTGTGTCTGACGCGTGTTGGATGGAGCAACTCTATCCTTTATTTGCCTTGCAGCTATATTTGCTGTGATCAGTGGGAATAAAGTAGTTTTAATATGTTTTTAGGTGAGAAAGTCCACCTGAAAACTTAATCATTGCAGTCAATTCATCCAGATTACCATCCTGCCTTCCAATATAATTTTTGTCGGAGCCACTCAGACCCCCACATACCAGTGGTGCACTGTCAGTAGGACCCCATTCATCAGCAGCCTCTGGCCGGGTCGCCTCCTCTTGGTTCACCGCGGCGGCTTGTAGGTGTTTTTCATCTAAATAATCTAACCTGCAGGCACCAGGATAATAAAAGAATAACATATTCTGTCGGCAGGTTTCAGCATTTTAAGTTAATTTAGGCGTCAATTAACTGTTTCAGAGGAGTGATCACAGCGCTCTGTGTCATCAGCTATGTGTTTGTCTCCCTACCAGCTCCCAGATCAGCTTCTCTGATTGGTTGATGTGGCACGTCAAGCAGCAAAAAAACAATTTTTCCATCTCGAGCAGCAGCGCTTTTGCGGCGCGTCAGATGCTTAAACGCTCCCGACGCGCTGCGCCTGCTGCTCAAAACGTGCTGCGGGACCTTTTGCTGCGCCTATACGCGCGTCAACCATTGACTTTGCATGTAAACTTGCTGCTTCTGCTGCGTCCGGTGTGAACGTAGCATTAGAGTCCAATCAACATTTTGAAAGGATAAAAAAAAAGAAAGAAAATGTGATCAATCAATTACCTGTAGTAAATGGTGGGTATTACCAGCGCGTAGCCAGCACAGGTTCCTCCCAGGCAGCTGCCCAGCTCGTGGAACAGGCTGTGTGTGAGAGACTCCAAAGGCAGCACCACCAGCAGAGCGCTGAGGAAGAGACCGTTGTAGGGCTGCAAAAAACCAAACATGCCGTCACTTTTGTTTAACACAAGCAGCTCGCATCAAGATAATCAGACTCACTTAACTGGTGCTGACACATAATGAGGCAGAAGCACAGGCTGGGACTGACAGTGTTATTATGGAAGGGTAAAAACATGACAGGCCGACTTAATGGAGACAGCGCTGTGTTACAGTGAAGATAAACAGATAAAGATGACTGTAGTTTTATAACGGTTAATACGTCTTAGCACTTAAGCTGTCTTGGAGATGCTAAATATTAAGGCTTACAGGTTTTGACCTACATTTTAGGTTAGATATGAACATGACTTATATTTAAATGAGGTAAGATGGTGGATCCTGAGAAAAATAGAAGGATAAACCCTCTAAGATTTTAAATGTTTTACCAACAGAAGGTTCTGATAAAAAACTCTTATAATAGGAAATAATTATAAGAAATCATTTAAATAGTGTTACCAAAAAAATAGGAAAACATTTTTTTTTTTAATACTACTAAATGTGTTCAGCGTTTGCAAACATCTTAAAATTCTTTTACTCACTTTTTATTTATTCTCAAGGTTTTGTGGCATTAATGGCCTTTGGAAGACATGCAACAAAGATCTAAAGGTCAGGAATTTAACCCCGGATGCCCGCATTAAAAACTGATAACATCTGAACTATTTTTTTTTTCTAAGAGCACACTAATCTGCTTTTGATTCCAATAGGCTAAGAAATGCTCCTTTTTTGTAGAAACCTTTGAAGCAGAAGTCAAGAGTAGTTTTGAGCAAAAAACAACAAAAAACATCTTATTCTACCTTTTAAAAAGTCAACTCTTTCAAATACTTTTGACTAAAATAGCTTAGCAAAAAAAAAGGAAAACCTGCTCAACCCGTTTGTAGCTGAAACTGTAACAAATCTTTTCCAGATGAATGTTAAGCCATATATGCACTCTATGACTAAAACAGTCGACTTTTTAACACATTTTCTGCATTTTTAAAGTCGCTGAAATCATATCAGTGGAAAACTCCAAAAAGCACAGCTGTAATAAAATGAATAAAAAATATGCATGTCTTAAATTAGGACTTGTGCCCACGGGACTCTTCCAAGGTAAATGCTTAATAAGGCTAAATACGTTATTGCTGCTCTTTATGCAAGTAGATGAGGATATTTAAGAGCTAATTAAATTTGCTCACATAAGCAGCTCAGTTTGGGGAGCAAGATAAAATTATGTGCACACACTTCTGCTCTTCAGATGATTTAAAAACAAATCACAATTTGACCAGTTTTTATGTGAATAGTAAAAAAAGAAACTTGATTTTTACAACCAGTATCCTACCTGCCAGGACACAGCTCCCAGTATGACGGTTGACAGCAGACTAAAGAAGACGAGGCGTTCTGAAATAAGGCAGAAGTGTCGAATGCCCCTGGAGGCCATGACCTGATCCAGACTACGTCTACTTGACGAATGGGCCCGCCAGGCATTCTGGCAGTCGGTCAGCTTAGTGTGGAAGCCCCAAATTGTGATCAGCAAAATTATGTGGCAGATGGCCCAGAAAAGGCCGAAGAGGCAGAAGCCAGGGATCACCAGATACCAAAGCTCCAAGTGGCCAAGCTGTCCAAGACAAAAACAATATACAAATTCATTAAATAAATACATATAATATACAGGGAAATATAATAAAAAAAAATTTATTTTGTTGCTTTAAAACCACAAACATCAGTGTGTTTTATTATATTTGTTTGCGATAGTCCAACAATGTAATTATTAACTCTGAAAAGGGAAGTTAATGATATTATTTTGGTGTTGTTGTATATACAAATAAAAATGTCAATGTGTGATTTACGTATCCATTCAATCTCCCTGTGTGAATACCTTGTAGAATCACCTTGCCACTACAGAAGAAAGCTTTTAGCTGCATTTTAACCAGCTTTGCACACTTAAAAGACTATTAGAGATATGAGGAAGTGGGGTAAATTCTAGAGTAAAGCATATTATTTTATTTTATTTAATCAAAAAAATGTTAGAATGAAGAAAACAAACAAGTACAAATAAAAACGTGTATCAGATTCCTGTCAGTTTATATGTAAGGAACAAACTTTGTTAATCACAGAAAAAAGCAATTACACTGCAGCTTGTGAGCTGAAACATGGCAATGCATGGAAAACGTTCAGAGGAGATAAATAAAAAAAGCTGCATTAAGTCTGTTCTTCATGCTTTGAAATCATTTTCTTTTTGAAATTTGATGTGTTTACCTTTAAGGCAGCAAAGACAAAGAAGAGCAGCTCCATGAGGGATAGAGGAAAAAGGGACAGCCTCCTCCAAAACTTCCCTAATGAGAGCACTGGCATCCAGCGCTCAGTGGGCCCGAGCCCGCTGAAGTACACATCCAACACCGGCTCACAGAGCTGCCTGCCTAGGAAGCAGCCTAAGGCAAACGGGTTAGCTTGGATGCTTAAGGCCTTAAAGAACACAAGGGAAGTAACCAACGCAAAGCAAATCAGGTTGGGGAAAGCTAGAAGTGATTTCATCCTCAAATCCACAATGAGAGCTCCCAAGGCCACCGCCAAGCCGACAATGGCCGCCGACTTGTTAAGAGGCATGGTGGTGCTAGCGATTGCAAATCCCAGCAGCTCCAGCCACTCAGCTGACGTCAACAACATAGGTTTGTAACTGACTGAGTGACATATGCGTTCAGTTATAGCCCAGACGGCCTTCATCACCACGCTGGCTACGAGGAGATAGTTGGCGACAAGTTCTGTAATATTGGAATCCAAGGCAGGGGTGTTGAGGAAGCACAGGAGTCCAAGCAGAAAACCAAACCACAGGTGGAACAAGCTGAGGCTGGCCTTCTCCATGGCAAAGTAGTAATGGAGAATGCTGGCGATTCCCAAGACGAAGAGGCCGAGGATGAAGATGACCAGGATCATGGGTTCGCTCGTCACCTCCCAGCGCACGTACATGCCGACACATACCGCAACGAGGAGGTTGATGCTGGACAAGTAACCCAAGCAGCACACAGACGTAAACACATCCACCTCCTTTGGTGCTGCCTTGACTGTCAGCTCCTCTTCCTCCTCATCCCGATCCATGGTGAGCTTAAAATCAATTTATCCAAACAGAGCCGGAAAACACCAATGTTCAGTTTTAGGCTTTCGTTCCCAAAAGACTTTTACTTGAGGACGGTGCCTCATGCAGGCACTCCACAAAATCAGCCCCTATGAATAAAGAAAATGGAATAATTACAAAAAACATCAAATGTAATTAATCGTTATGACAGGAAGAGGAACCAAATACTTGCTATATGTTCAATTACCCATAAAAAAATGTTTTGTGAGCAAATACTTCTCATACATTTCAGAAGTATTTTTTTTGCTTAATTTCCAAATTTGAAAGAAGAATGCACATTGAGTTTGTATTAGTTTTGTTAGGAAAAACTTAATTGATGATGTGTGAATCTGTTATACCCTTATAATATCCGTCTATACTAATGTTTCTTCAAGTAATTTATCTAATTGGGATGGTTTCTCTTACAGGACGTGGCAAATATTTGGGAATGGAATAAGAGCAGTATCCTTGATCTAAGAGCTGAACTTAACTGTGATGAGGGGCCACTCCAACGAGATTTGAGCCCGGTTTGTAAGCGCTACCATCTGTAACCTAAGCAACTTCTCTCATATAATAATTGAACTTTATTTATCTCACATTGGAGAATTTACCTCTGCATTTAACCCATCCCCTTGGGGAGCAGTGGGCTGCCATTGTGGGGCGCCCCGGGGAGAAATTAGGGGTTAAGGATCTTGCTCAGGGGGTCGAACTAACCACTATAATCACTAGACCGCCACTCCCCCTCCATCTGATCCGAGCAAGATTACAATTTCTATCAAAATCTGTTGTCATGTCTCCTGGTTATTTAATAAATATAAACCATGAGGTGTTATTTAAAGGGTTTGTCCCAAGTGATCCCTCTCAGTAAAAGAACCGGAGACAGAGAAAGCTTCAAGGTGTAAACTCAGAGCTTTCTATACCAGTTTCTTGTGGCTTTTTTGAATGCTAGAAAATATACTTTACAATAACAATACAATTAAAATCCTTTTAATTTAAATGTAAGGCTCTATCTAATTAAAAGACGGAATATTCCTTGTATATGTTTAAAAAACAAACTATTAAAAAGCAATAAATAAATAAATGACTAATTTTTTTCTCACAGCTTTTAACTGTTTTCTACACACCAACTATCAACGTCTAAATGTTGAGTTTCTAAGTGTAAATCCTTGCTTTGAATGTTTGATTTATATCTTTGTATTTATAATAGATATAATTATTAAATGGAGGTTTTCTTTGCCTGTAAACAAAACTACAATGTTAGCAGTAAAAAAAACAACATTAAAACAATACAATCAGAACTAATACTGTCCATTAACATGTCTCAAGCATTTCCATTTCCTCCAAACCCAGAATAAAAGTGTAAATTATCTGTTTAATGATCAGTTTATTTAACCATACAACTTTTTATTTCGGATCCGAATCTCCCTGACAGCTGATAATGTTGACTCAAAACCAGCGATAAAAAAAAAAAAAAGATTAACCTAAGGAAATGGAAATATAAATAACTACTAACAAATATTTAGTTTTGGTCAGCATGACAAGCAAACTGTTGCCCCGCTGTCAGTTTGTGGCGATGTGGCACTTACTGAAGCTCAGAATTTTGCTAACAACGTTAGCCTTATCCACTAACTTCACGTTTATTCATGTGCAAATATTTAACGTCTGAAAGCGACAATATGTACCTCTAAAACCATTAAAACTACAGCAGTAAAAATAAATGTATTAAACACATTTTAATCGATAAAAAGTAGCTTACATATTCTGTGTTTAACTGTCAGCAGCAGCACTTCCTGGATTCCTGAATCTACGGGATCTCGCTAGGGTAAAAATGCTCGTGCTTTCGCCTTTTTTTATTAAGCCGTTGACATTTGCATAAAAAATACTCTCGGAGAGGATGACAAAAGTACGGTGGCTGAGAAGTGCAAAACACATTTACAATTCAAAAACACATTAACAAATAAAAAACAAAATAACATTTGAAGAAACAAAATTATATTTTGTGAAACAAATGTATTTTTGAAAAAAAAAGTTTAAATTTTAAAAAACAAATTTACATTTTAGCAAACAAATTTACATTAACAAATAAACAAAATAACATTTGAAGAAACAAAATTATATTTTATGAAACAAATGTATTTTTGAAAAAAAAAGTTTAAATTTTTAAAAACACATTTACAATTCAAAAACACATTAACAAATAAAAAACAAAATAACATTTGAAGAAACAAAATTATATTTTATGAAACAATTTATTTTTGAAAAAAAAAGTTAACATTTTTAAAAACACATTTACATTTAAGGGAACAAATTCACATTTTAAATAAGTTAGATTTTAGGTGAGAGAAAGTTTCATTTTAGAGAAAAAAAATACATTATAGGGAAACAAATTTACATCTAAAAAAAAAATTGACCGTTCGGAAACACTTGTACAAGTGCAAAGACAAAACTGCAAGTGGCAAAACACATTTACATAGCCAAAAACAAATTAACAGAAGACGGCTACACGGAAAGGGAATGTCCCAGTGACCGGATGTGACGTCACGATTACCCTGACTTGTAGTACAAACAGCTCAATCTGTAGTCCTCCTGCTTCACGTGAAAAGTCAGCGGCGATTTTAGATGGAAAGAATTGCACTGAAGCTGTTTTTCTTAAGTTTACGCTAACCGAACAATGTTTTCAGCCAATTTACACCATTTTGTTCTTCGTGCTGACGGTCTCTGGAACTTTTACGGGACACGGACCAGGTGGCAGGACCAAGCAGCAGGGCCGGGCGTATTACTGGCCGGAGCCACTATTATTTTGTCATGTAGTTTTTTAATAACTTTTCTTTGGTATTTAATTATTTTTTGGGTATTTTTCCTGCCGTTTTTCGGCAAATGCCTTATTTATAGTACTTCTAACTAGATTGTTTTATATATATATATATATATATATATATAGGCTATATATTGTGATGTTATCGCTTAATAACCTGTATTAAAATGTATTCTTTATGGGTTTCTTTTTATTGTGATGTTATTGCTTAATAAACTGCATTAAAACTTTTATAATGTCACATTTACTTGATGGAACGGAGTACTTTATCTGCGAATAAGTGGCCTCGGCCGGCAGCAGCCACCATCGGCCTCTCCGATGGCAAGCTCTGCCGGCAGCGGCCACCATCGGCCTCTCCGATGGCAGGCTCTGCCGGCAGCGGCCACCATCGGCCTCTCCGATGGCAAGCTCTGCCGGCAGCGGCCACCATCTGCCTCTCCGATGGCAGGCTCTGCCGGCAGCGGGCAACAACGGCCACTCCGATGGCGACTCTGCCGCAGCCACTGCCACGAATTGAGCTCGGCCCTGCTGCTTGGTCCTGCCACCTTGTACCGTGTCCAGTAAAAGTTCCAGAGACCGTCAGCACGAAGAACAAAATGGTGTAAATTGGCTGAAAACATTGTTCGGTTAGCATAAACTTAAGAAAAACAGCTTCAGTGCAATTCTTTCCATCTAAAATCGCCGCTGACTTTTCACGTGAAGCAGGAGGACTACAGATTGAGCTGTTTGTACTACAAGTCAGGGTAATCGTGACGTCACATCCGGCCACTGGGACATTCCCTTTCCGTGTAGCCGTCTTTTGTTGATTTGTTTTTGGCTATGTAAATGTGTTTTGCTACTTGCAGTTTTGTCTTTGCACTTGTACAAGTGTTTCCGAACGGTCAATTTTTTTTTAGATGTAAATTTGTTTCCCTATAATGTATTTTTTTTTCTCTAAAATGAAACTTTCTCTCACCTAAAATCTAACTTATTTAAAATGTGAATTTGTTTCCTAAAATGTAAATGTGTTTTTAAAAATTTAAACTTTTTTTTTCAAAAATACATTTGTTTCATAAAATATAATTTTGTTTCTTCAAATGTTATTTTGTTTATTTGTTAATGTAAATTTGTTTGCAAAAATGTAAATGTGTTTTTAAAAATGTAAACTTTTTTTTCAAAAATACATTTGTTTCATAAAATATAATTTTGTTTCTTCAAATGTTATTTTGTTTTTTATTTGTTAATGTGTTTTTGAATTGTAAATGTGTTTTGCACTTCTCAGCCACCGTACAAAAGTGTACATGAACAGATGAAGATTAATTACGATAAAAAACAAAACAAAGTAAAGCAAATAGCAGGGAATTTACATTTAAATCAAACATAGAAAGAGCCATAGAAATATGAAAAACGAAAAAATTGATGCAATTAGAATAGTGGATGTTGGGAGAATTCAAGATTAATTTTTTTTTGGCATGTTTGTCTTTTAAGAAAAAATCTTTTTAAGAGAAGAATATATATTTTTTTAAAGTCATTAATAAACAAAAATCTAAGGAAGGTTTAGCATTTCTCCATTTGGCACAGTAAATATGATATTTACCCAACAGCGGAAGGATATTAATAGTTTTAGAAACAGGCTGGATAAGATGGTCCATATAAAAAATGACATAATTTAGGGCAAATGGGGGAATATAATTATCTTTTAAAGAAATCCAATCTTTCATCTCTTTCCAGAAGCGACGTGTAGGAGGACACAGGTAAAACATGTTTAAGAGTTTCACTAATATTGTTACAAAAGGAACATTGATCCACCTCAAAACCAAATCTTTTTCTTAAAAATTCTAGGTAGAAGAGGCCATTTAGCAAATTTTGAGAATGCTTTATCAACTATATTTGAACTAATACTTTCGCTTTTTTTTTAACCGAGGAAAAATGTTGCTGTTGCTTCTGTATTCAGCAGTAATTCTAATTTGCTTGTACTTGTACTACTACTACTACACCACTACTAATAAACACACACACTCCCACACATACGCACAAATATCACCAACAGGGGTCTATCGTGGTAACATGGAAAGAGGGGGACTTCTGTTTCTGCTAATTTTGACATATCAAAACCTCAATATTAAAATTTCTTTTAGGCTGTGCTACCATTTTATAACTGTAATTTGATAAAAAATGTTATTATTATTTTTTAAAGAAATTGCCAAAAATGGACTTGGATCTCTGAGTGTTGCCTACGTATCAAAGTGTAGACCTCCTCTAAATAAAAATAAAACAAAACAAAAAATTTCAAACTGATAAACCACAAAGTGAAAGTAAAAGTGATAAGAAGACATAAAGATCAACAAGAACAAAGTGATAAACTGACCACAAATTAAGTAAAACTTTTTCGAAAGGAAAGTTCTCCTCTTGGTTCATATGGAGCAAAGGGTTTTAGAGTGATATCTATATCTATATATCTATATATCCATATATATATATATATATATATATATATATATATATATATATATATATATATATATATATATATATCTATATATATATATATAGATATATATATATAGATAGATAGATAGATAGATAGATAGATAGATAGATAGATAGATAGATAGATAGATAGATAGATAGATATACACTCCAGATTAGTTGTGGTTTTTCTCTCCATGAGGTGATAGCCATATAACCAAAATGGCTTTTATGTATTTTGAAAATACAATTAAATAAAATTCTACATAGTTTAACCCCTGTTTAAAAACTAAGCAACGTATTTTGATGTTTTAAAATGTCTTTTTGACTTTCTCATATTTTTCTACTTTAGGTTAGATTGCTTTTGAAAATACATTCTAAACACAATGAATCAATATACCCTGATAATATGGCGATAAAATCAACACTGGTCATGCTGTTTTCTTTTTTTGTTTGTTTGTTTCTGTAATTGGATAAAATCCTATATAGTTAAACTCCAATGTAGAAAAAGAAAAAAAAACTCAATTACATGAATTTTTAATTTGTAAGACATTTGCAAAAGGATTTCTGGTCAAACATTGTATTTGTGAACTAAATCTATAAACTAATAGAGATGATAATAATAAAAATATTATTGCGTTGTTACTGTTATTAGGATATGGGGACATATAAGCAGACATACAGATTTGTATATATTTGACTCTTTATTTTCCTTTAGTTATGCATCTTGCACATACATATACTAATAGCTTGCAAAACAAAGTAAGTACATTGTCCTTAATTGTGCCCACTTCTTCTTTATGTATGTGTAGGAGAGATACAAACAGGACAAGAAAAAGTATAAGAGCGTGCTTCTTTAACCAGAGATCAACAAAAGGCACAGCTGGGAATACACACATTCAGCACCCCTCCTCATACATAGCTTTATTTTAAAAATCCTTACATCTAGCAATCTCTGCAAACACTTCTAAGGGCCAGAAGCTTAAAACTTGGAATCAAACAACATATTGATCGTAGAAGCTTCTTGGATAAAACAGCAGAACTTGATAAAAACAAATCAAACTTTGAACCGGCCGTTGCTTAAATAGCATTTACATTCATGCCAGGTAGATGTGGAAAGTCCAGCAGCATAAGGAAGATCTCCTTTAGAATTAAATTTTTACCATTGAGTACTTTAATGATTGCTGTTCTTTTGGAACACTGGGGATTAACATCAAAATATATAACTTTAATTCATGCAAACTTGTTAACTTGTTTTAACGGGTGTGAATGCTTTAGACAGGTGCTGTGTGCACCCCAAAGTTAAATATTATGTTTTATATTGGCTTCTGTAGACTGAAGCAGAACAAAATATGATGTAGACTATAAGCACCTTTAAATAAAGCACATGTGTTTGTGACTTCTGAACAAATCTTAAAACTCCCTGGACAATTTAAATAGGGTAAAGGCTTTTCTGCTGCTATATGTTTGGTTTTCACTGCTGTAAGGGAACAAAGGGAGCTGACTAATTGATACTAATCCACTCTACTATGCTGAAATGCAAAACAAGCTGTACAA